GAGAGAGAGAGAGGGGGGAAAGAAATTCGAACTAGGCTTGATAAACAGAGAAAGGTGTGCTCTTGTGCTGTGAAAGTATCTATGCCCCGGGTGCACGCGAGTCGAAACAGCCTCTCTTCTCACCCCGGCGGTGGTAGTGGTAGTTGTAGTGGTGTTGTTGGTGGTGGTGGTAGTTGCGGTGGTTGAGGCAGGCGGCGAGAGGAAAGCGAAACAACAGCACACACACAAGTTAGCGGCTGCCTGACTGCCCGTGTGTGTGTGCCTGGCTGGGCCGCACTTAGAACTCGGCGAAATCCCGGAGTACCCATAAAGCCTTGCGCTCACCGCGAAGCAGGAAAAAAAACAAAATGGCACTTGCACGAAACAGTGTTTCTCGGAGGGGCTCTAAAAACGATGCAGAAAAGGAAGAAGATGAGGCTGAAAACAATGGATATATTCAAGTTTTTGTGAAACCTTTAGAACAAGGCAGCTATGGTTATTTATTAAAATTATTAGGTGTCAGCAAAGCAAATTTCTCTGCTCAACAGCTCGGAGTGTGTTACGGAGCTACTGCCATAGCTAGCGCTGTGTTGTTGTATCAGCTCTTACGCTGTGATGTGGGAATCCTCTTCCAGAGGTTATGTTCGCTTCTCGTGCCCATGTTTAGCATTCTGTGTGCTTTTTATTGGTTGTCTTTGTATTTTCGACGAACGTGGAGCAATACGAGTGTGTATTTGTTATTCTGTTCTTGTTACGTGGGCGAGTTTTTTGCTCAAATCTTTCTTCGAGATTGGGGCGAAGGTTCCACTTCACAACCTGCAGAAGGGGGAGGGGCAGGTGAAGGTGGCACAGTTGCATCTTCAATTGTATTATCAAACCATACAACTCAGCCTCTAGTCATAGTCTGTGTGTTACTGTCCATAAGCATAGCTAGTGTCTTTTCAAGTTTAGAAACTAGCCATAGTGCAGGTGTAATTTTGCTTGTAAGCTTTACAAGATTTCTAGCCTGCTCGGCGTTGCAAGATATTCCATTTGGCTTGCGACCTTTCGTTGCCTACACATGTGGATTCGCTGGGAATGTGGTGGCTAAATACATGGAGACCGTTCTCAAACCTCCGATTCAAAACTTCACAACACCAGATGGAAAAATACCAGTTATTAAACGCAGGAGATCGAGTTCTTCAAGTGCGCATGCATTCTCTGCGCACCGATCGGCACGGCGGACATCTCTGCCGGCGCTCATTCAGAAAAGTCAGGTAAGTGTCGCAGACATCATCCTTGCCTACGTTCCTGACCTTTACTAAGGTTCAAACACAAACAACTTGGGAATTTTTATGTCTAGCCTTGTACTTCAGACTTTGTAAACACAGCGAGCCAGACTAGTCTGGTAGCCGGCTGTTTATTTACACTTGTGGATTAGCAGCTGAGCACATTGCTACAAGAAGAGAACTCTTCTAGCTCTAGCATTCCTGTCTGTATAGATCTAGATCTAGATGTGATGAAGACTGAAATGTTGCTGGAATAGATGAAAGTTGAAGTTCAACTGTCTGTCTGTCTCTTCATTTGTGTGAGACTGAAGAGTTCCTCTCTATGGCTTTGTTTTTTGACTGAAAGACTTTAAGCATGCATCATACCTGGGATAATGTTATTATAACTTTAAATAATTTTTACTCATATATATACAAATGGGAGTTGGGTCTTTTCTCTGTCTGACTGCCCGTCAGCTTGGGTTTATGGCTTAATGGACAGCGCAATGAAATTCAAGTAGGCCTGATTGCGTCAGTCCTACAGAACTTGTGAGTGTGTAGCAAAACCTGATCTCCATTCTCCCGGTCGCGTATAAATTTCCCAGCCCCTGACAAGGGATCAATACGGAGAGCGTCTTGTGTAAGGCGTGTATGTAAACAATTCAGATAGTACAGTGCTGGCGTATGAATGAAAGGCGTTTTAGTCATGATCCTTCAGATCCTGAAATAGTCTGATTTTTGTAATGTCGATTTTTTACTCAGTACTCAGTGTAGTTATTAAATGTCTGGCATCATATTATAAATTATTATTATATTATATTATTACAAAAAAATAATATTGTTTAATGATATCAATTTTAATAGGTAGGCTAATTGTAATCAAAATTGTGTTCGTAATTATTATTCGGGGGCATGATAATTTACGTCAGACTTTGATGAAGTCATCGGTATTTTTAAAAATTTCCCTTGAAAATTGTAAGTTAGCCTAACGTATGAAATTGTTACAGTTTATATGTCAAATTGATAATTTTATTTTTCTGGATTTCATCTCACAACTCTGAATCTAATTCTAATGATTAATTAATAATTAATGGCACATTTGGAGATAAATATTGTGATGAGAAATATGAAAATGGAAGTTAATCACATTTTTATTACTGACCTGGCCCTGGGTGGATTATTGGATGTTTGTGTACTGCAATGTTTGCTGAAAAATATCTTGTAATTGCAATTCTAAAACAAATTTAAAATGGCCATTGAGCTTTCTTTTTATACCTGCTGAAAATAAATTTAATATTGTAATGCATAGTTCTGAACAGTTTACAATTATTTGTCATTGATTCCTAAATATTTTATTTAATTTCAGACTTATCTTGGTCTTAAATGGTCATAAAAATATGCAACAAAAATTCTTCATTTATATTCAACTTTAAAATGGTTTGGTCAACTCTTTTCTATGAGGGAAAATGGCAGGTCAATATTGCCTTTGGAATTAAAGTCAAATAGGTAATTTTTGTATGTTAAACATTCTACTCATCTTTTTATAGAAAAAAATCGAAAAAAGTCATTGAAAAGTTAATATTTAATATATGCATGTACCTTAGATAGAAACATATTTGGTTTTGAGACTCAACTTTTCCATTCATTATTTCATTGTAAAATTAAGTTTGTTCACACGGGAGTTGTAAAACTCTTGTTTGAGGGCTTGATTGAAGCAGCATGGTTTGTTTTTACAAGATCACAGACGTCTGTAAAGTATTGCTTCAAGAGGCTTGGAGCAGATTTCTTAGCAGGGTACTGGAAGTGGAGGTTTTTTTTTTTGTTTGTTCATTTTTAAGCTGCTTCTTGTTATAATTTCTATGGTTTAGAAATAAAAGAATGGGTTTCTTTCTCAAAATTATATTTTGTTGACCTAGACTTGGACAGTTTATTGTGTATAGATGTCTATAAGTAATGGTCTGTTTTATCAGGAATCACGCTGTTTCCATCAAATTTACCCTTTGCTTTTCCACCATCATGGTGTTTCTGTTGCCTAAATGGCCATGGGCTACACACAATGCAATGGTAGGGAGGAGTTACCGTGACAAGGTCCACTGAGCACACTGTACAAGAGTTAGGGTTAGGGTTAAAAAAAATAAATTCAACTTCCAAAACTGTTTGGCTCTTTTTTTTGACCCTGTGCGGAATTCCTTCCTTGCAATGTATTATAAAGACATGTGGCCTCAGCACACACACTGTGCTAGTTGATGACGTCAGCAGTACGCGCTGTGCTCAGTCACAACATCCAAACACATCAATGGGCTGTGGCCTTAGTCAACACACTCACCTTTCTATGACATTACACTTTGTAGTACACATAAATAGTAACTGTTGTCTGAAAGTCTTCAAGGGATTTGAGAATGACCGCCGAGAATGACAACTGTGGAAATAATGACAATAAAAAATAAAATAATATTAATTATAATTAATACACTCATAAAATAATATAAAAACATTCTCAGTAATAGAACCCCCCCCCCCCCCCCCCATGCGTTGCCACGATACAAAGACAGAGAACACATTTTTCTTCTTTTTTTCTGTCCATGGAAATGGATAGGAATTAGGGTATACGGGTGAGGAATTATCGCCTTCTGCGGGGAGGAAAAATTATATTCAAACGTGAGCTTTTTATAAATGATAGCCTTGTAATAGTTTGTTCACTTTCGTCTGTCCGTGGTTACAGCTTGTGGGTGGTTGGCGGGTGCTCTGGTGTGGTTTGCTTCTTCTTTCCTATCAAACATAGATCTATTGTCCGTATCTCCCCTCCTTCTTTTTATGTTTGTTACTCTCTTGTAACACATCTAATCTTCTGGTGCTCAAATTACCTTATGCAGTTGCGAGTGCCGTAAAACCTCTACTAAAACAAAAAAGGTATACATCTCTCCTCCTAGTCTGTCTTTTTGACAGGACGGTATGTGTTGCAAGTGCCGTGAAACACTTTTAAAAAAAGGTTTTAAAATTTAGTTTGTTTCACTTTCGTCTGACCGGGGGTTAAATATAAAATTAATATATATATAATAAAAGCAAATCGCTTTCCAGAAGTTATTTAACCAGCAGAATCTAGAAGCCAATAAATTGTGACTGCGAACTGAAGTTCCGACACGTCGTATTTGATGTTGTTGACGCCGAGCGGGTTAAACAAACTGAGGGAGTGGTTGGCGGGTGCTCTAATGTGGTTTGCTTCTTCTTTCCATTCAAACATCTATCGTCCTTATCTCCCCTCCTTCTTTTTTATGTTTGTTACTCTCTTGTAACACCTCTAATCTTATGGCACTCATATGACCGTATTCAGTTGCGAGCGCCGTAAAACCTCTACTAAAAACATAAAACAAAAAAACCTAACAAACGAGATTTACAGTACAGCATACAAAAACACAACAAGTTGACTGACCTATTTTCATCAACCCCATACTTTTACCCACGCCTATTTCCCACACACAGTCCCAACAGACGGGGTGAGTACTTTTTTCGAGACTCGACTTTCGTGGGATGAAATGTACAGCGCGCGATGTGTGTGTGTGTGTGTGTGTGTGTGTGTGTGTGTGTGTTTGTGTTGGTAATTAATGGTCTCACGATCTGCATTTTTTGTCCTTCCATCCGTTAGTTTAATTGTACAGCGCTCAAAGCCTTGTCTTCCTTCTTGGGATAAGGCGCTGTATAAATTCCCAATTACATGTATCATTATTATTTGTATTATTAATATTATTATTATTATTATCTTATTATCATTATTATATTATTATTATTATTATTATTATTATTATTATTATTATTATTATTATTATTATTATTTAAAAATATGTCCATCCAGCACAATAAAGCAGTTAGGTCGCAAGGATCATTCCTTCCTTCCTTCCCAGTTTGGTGTTTATTTTATGCAAATAATAGGTGGAATAGGAACGGGGTTTTGTAGAGATACGTTTGTCATACTGAGACATTGGAAGACAAAACTGCCGCGTTCAAAGGTGACATTCATTAGTTAGTGGAGAGTCGTCCGTCTACAAAGGGTTCATTAAAAATATTTTTTGGGGTAAGTGTTTTACGGCGCTCGCAACTGCATAAGGTCAAAATGAGCGCGCGGGACACATTTTAAGCATTTTTCAGTTTGTAGGAAATTTTGAATTTTGCCCGGGTGGCCGCCGAAGCCTACTCTTATCGTTTTTAGGAGCATCAAGGGATCTGATCTTTAACGTGTGTGACTTGTACACAGGACCTCCGAGATTTTTCGCCCTTATCCGAGAAGGCTAGGGATTCGATATTACCAACCATAAGATCAGTGGTGTGGATGAAAGACAGCAGTGAGAAGGAGCCGAGGAGTAGCAGTGCAATGGCTGCAGAAAGAGTCAGGAGCCCAGAGGAGGGCAAAGGGGAGAGGGGAAGGGTGAGGGGGCAGAAAGTGGAAACGAAAGCAGACGACAGAACATTTCTAGAGAGCAAGAAAGCGGGCGAAAGGAAAATATTTTAGAGAAGAAAAATTTCCGTCGCTGTCCGGGTTCGAACACGTGACTTATTGAATGAGAGGCAAACATTATTAACGTCTAGACCACGAGCATCCCGGGTTCACTCCGTCAAGACGTAGCGTACATTTAATATAATGAAAACAAGTTAAAGCTTCTATTTGACTGTGCCCCAAAATGCGACTTCAAGCGTTGACGTATTAGTATTACTTCAAAGTTCAAAGAGTTTACGAGTCCTCCCATTCTTCAGCCGAATGAACCTTCCTAGCTTGAACTCCCCACCCCCTCTCTTGAACTCCCTCCCACCAACTTTTCCCCTCTCCTGAACTCCCCCTCCCCTCCTCTCTCTCTTGA